AAATAACCATAAAGTAACTGACTTTTTATTGCACTAGAGGATAGAAAATTTCATATTGAGCCTATAATGCCAAACTACTTCATAGAAAAGTGGTCTCTAACCACAAGTATTTATTGGTTAAATATGCTGTGGGTGGGTGCGGCCGAATTCGGTCACTTTGTATTTGACTGAATATCGCCGCGATCGAATTCGGCCGCTTGGTGGCCAAGAGGTTAATAAACAAATATGCATTTAATGGATTATACTATTCAACTACTTGACGTAGAATGTTTTCTGTGCTGTGGTAGTTTAGTTTTTTAAGATATTCAGTAGATTTGCATTCGCGATAGTTAAGTCGGTGAAAGTTCAATTTTTTGTTTAAATCATTGTAAATATATCTTGAGTGGGCACTGTACTGTCTTTCAGCAAATTTACATTTTACATAATTTTTTTTTGTTTAATGACGTCGTGATTCCCCCATATAGAGTTTTTTTGAAGCATATGGCGAGTTCATATGTGTTTTTAAAATTGTTTGTAAAATATATAGCTACCTAACCGTAAGCACGTCACATGTACTATACAGTTGTTCGGTATGAAATCTAATAGGCTTAAAATACATAACTTTAAGAAGGTATTGTTGTCCTCTTTCTATGTTCAAAAAGTTAGTTTTTGCAGCGCCTCCCCATACAGTAATGCATTATGCTAAACTGATTGAGCTAAAGATGTATAAATTTGATTTATCAACTTAGTCGTTGTAACGCAGTTTTTTTAAATATCCAAATAAGCTTACGAATTCTGCTGTCGACGTATTCTATTGGGTCCTTACATATGAAATTAGCGTTTTGTCGTACTGACCACTTTGATCTGAAATATCTCCTCTTTGGTAAAGATTTCCAAATTCAAATTTATAAATTCATTTAGCTGGTACATTTGAGTTTTGAAAACAGTCATTCATTTATTTTTTCCTCATTATTTTTTTCTTGGGGGTCGCTTATTACCGCACAATGGAAAACATGAAATATCGGTATATTTACGAGTACGAATTCTACCGTGGCACCAGTGTTGCAGAAACAGCTCGAAGGATTAATGATGTGTACGGCGCTGGAGTCGCAAAAGAAAGTACGGTACGTTTTAGGTTTCAACATTTTCGTTCTGGAAATTGCGACCTTCAGAACCAACTCCGTGGACGGCCGGAGACCAAAGTGGAAAATGAAGAATTAAAGGCTATTGTGGAAGCGGATCTATCATAAAGCACCTCAGAGATAGCTGCAAGCTTCGAGGTAAGTGATAAAACTGTACTAATACACTTGAAGCAAATCGGGAAAGTAAAAAAAACTTGAACGAGGGTACCTCCTGAATTGAGTGAATCGATCTTGCAAACACACGTCCACTGCTGTGTTACTTTGCTCAACGGACACAAAAATGAAGGGATTTTAAATGGAATCATTACTTGTGATGAAAAATGGATACTGTACGATAATTGGAAGCGTTCGTCACAATGGCTGAACCCTGGAGACCCAGAAAAATCCTGCCCTAAACGAAAATTGACTCAGAAAAAGTTACTTGTGTTTGGTGGACCAGCGCCGGTGTCGTTCACTACAGCTTTTTAAAATCTGGCCAAATTTTTACGGCGGATATCTATTGTCAGCAACTGCAAACCATGAAGGAACAACTAGCTACTAAACAACCGAGATTGGTCAATCGCTCCAGGCCACTGCGCTTCACAACAACGCAAGACCACACACTGCACAACAAACAACCACTAAGTTAGATGGGCTACAATTGGAATGTCTGCGACATCCACCGTACTCCACGGACCTTGCTCCAACAGATTACCATTTTTTCCGGAATTTGGTCTTCTTACAAGGAAAAAATTCACCTCCGATGCGGCAGCCCAAACCGCCATCAAATAGTTTATTGATTCTCGCCCCCACGGTTTTTTTAATAAATGGATCAGTGAGCTACCTATGAGATGGCAAAAGTGCATAGATAACAACGGTGCATACTTTGATTAATTAAATATGTTTTACAAAAAAAAATTGACTTTATATTCCTCCCAACACAACGCCAAAACAAGTACAAAATACCAATTTCATATGTAAGGACCTATTCTTTAATTAATCCATGAAAGATGTTGGTCAAAAATTATTCCAAGATATTTTGTGTAATGTACTCGCTCAAGTTTTTTACAATTACAATTAATTAAATCCGCATCATAACATTGATGAATTTTTAGTGATGTTTCAATGGAGGTTGTGTTCTTTTATCTATAGTGAAGCAGATAAAGTTAGTTTTATTAACATTTAGTGTTAGTAAATTATATCTAAGCATCTAAGTTCCTTGAATTTAAAGCATACTTTAGTACAAAATTATTACTAGTTTTGTGTGCATGCAAATAAAAAGAAAAGTTTTCAACACATGTATACTTCCAGTCATTAATTACGGATTTGAAACCTGGACACTCACCAAACACCATAGGGAAAAGCTGGAACGCTGCCAAAAAGCCATGGAAAGAAGCTTGATAGGAATAAAGAAACAGGACAGAGTGAGATGTTGCAAAATAGGAGAAAAAACCGAAGTTGCTGCTATATTAACCCGAATAGACCAACGAAAATGGAGATGGGCAGGTCACATGATACGATATCCACAAGAGAAATGGTATGGTACCCTAGAGATGGCAAGAGAAGTAGAGAACGCCAACAGACAAGATGGGATGACGACCTAAAACTCACGGCGGGACATCACTGGAGAAGGGTAGCACGGGACAGGTCCCAGTGGAAAATGTTAGAGGAGGCCTATACCAAGAGGCAAACTGAACTTCGGGACATTTTATAAAAAAAAAAAGAAATACAACATATATTATTTATTTATTTAAGTTCACATTAAAAGGGCTTATTATTATTATTGGGATATCTGTATAGTTTTCTCATCTGGTTGGGTTCTATAAATATATAATTATAAATTAAAATGAAAATATAAATATACATAAATATCAATAAAATAAAATAAATACAAAAAATACATAAATAAATAAAGATCCAACCAGATGGAAGCCCTCGGCAGGGGAGACCAAACGGCCGAGGGTTAGGAGGAAAGGGAAAGAAACCGATAGACGTAGCGTGCGGTATCGAGGAGCACTGCCTTCTGCATTTGAGCCCGGAGCGGTCCGTCACGGAGTCCCAGTCGCCTCAGATGACCCGAGAGGCTGACTGGGATTAGCCCATTCGCAGAGACGGCTACAGGAATAATTTCGGCTGGCCGACCACCCTACATGTCGGTCACGTCGTGAGCCAGGTCTAGATATTTTGTTCGCTTATCTGTTTCGGCTTTCACGAGGTTCTCGTCATACGAAATGGTAATGTCGACCAAAAATATCTTTGACTGTGCCCGGTCCATCAGCACAATATCAGGCTTATTCACAAGAATAGTCCTGTTGTATTCTGTGATGATGACCCGGTCCCAGTAGAGGCTGGCGCGGTCATTTCCGAGCACGGCTTCTGGCAAGTACTTGTAATACGGCAATTTCCGGACCACGAGACTGTATTTCAGAGCGAGCTCCTGGTGTAGAATTCTGGCTACTAGGTTGTGCCTGTGCAAGTACTCAGAGTTAGAAAGCGCCGAACAACCTAAGATGACATGCCTAAGCGACTCACCGGGATGGGGACAAGCTTGACAGACGTCGACGGTGTCATCCTTTAGGATGTATCTCCGATAGTTGTTGGTCTTAATAACCTGATCCTGTATTGCACAGACAAAACGCTCGGTTTCCCCGAAAAGGTCACCGAAACGTAGCCAGTTGAGTTGCTCGTTGGCTAAGGATAGAGGGGTAAGCCCTTTATCACTAGAAATGACGTCATTATAGAATGGATCGTCCGATCTTGCCAGGAAGTAGTGACGAAGGCTGCACACTTCGCGATTATGCATGTTGAGCGCGCTCAGAAAACCACGCCCACCATGCTTTCGCGGCAAGTACAGCCTCATTACCGACGATCTCGGATGATGCATCCTATGGGACGTCATGGTAGTGCGGACTTTTCTATCTAGGGCGTTAAGTTCGGTCTGAGTCCACCTGAGTATGCCAAAGGTATACATGAGGACAGGCATGACCCAGCCGTTATATGCGTGTATCTTATTCACATCGGACAAAAGGCTGTTAAGCACTTTGGTCAAGCATGCATAAAACACGTCGCAAACTGACTGTTTCATACCAGCCTCATCGATACCGATGTTCTGTGACATACCCAGGTATCGGTATGTTTCAGCATCGGAAAGGGGCCTTAACTTGACGGGCATACACAAGTCTATGCCCTCCGAGTTAGCAACCCTTCCCTTTTCAACATGGAGAACCGCACACTTATCCGTCCCCAGATCCATTCCAATGGAGTTGCTAAATTCACAAGTGATGTTTAGCAATTCCATAAGATGGGAGCGACTGGAGGCGAATAACTTGAGGTCATCCATATAGAAAAGGTGGGTCACTTTTGTCCCCCCCTATCCGTAGCTGAAATCTCCTACCGGAGCCCTCCAGTAAGGTACTGAGAGGGTTCAGAGAGAGGCAGAACCAGATTGGACTCAGACAATGGCCCTGAAAGATACCCCTTCTTATCCTTATTTGGTTCTCCGCAGCTATCATCCGCTCGCCCAGATGACAAAAGATCGTACTCCACTGCCCCATACACTGCTCGAGGAAGTCTCTAACTGTACAGTCAATCTTGTACAGCTCGAGGAACCTCTTTAGCCATGTATGTGGCAGCGAGTCGAACGCCTTTCTGTAGTCTATCCAGGCGGCAGAGAAGTTCCGACTGTTGCGTTTCACCACTTTGCCTATGACCGCGTCAATGAGGAGTGGTTCCTTGGTTCCACGACCACCGCCCCGACATCCATTTTGAGCGTGTGACATCACCTGGTTTAGCTCCAGGTGACGAGTGATTCTCGCGCTCAAAATGGATGTCAGTGTCTTATATATGGTGGGTAAACACGTGATGGGGCGGTATTTGCTCGGGTCTGTGGTATCCTGATCTTTATGAATCAAGTGAGTGATCCCAGTAGTGAAGAGGCTCGGGAGCGACTTCTGGTCGAGAGCCTCTTGAAACTGTCGGGCGAGCACAGCGTGACACACTATGAACCCCTTCAGCCAGTAATGATGCAGCCCGTCGAGCCCCAGACTTACGGACCGCCTCAGCCACGTCTTCCGGCGTTATAGTGATGGGGTCCATAGGTGTAACACTCGCACCCTGGCTCGCCACAACTTCCATCCAAGGGCCCTCGCTGTGGTTTACGGGCTCTGACCACAGGCCACGCCAGAATGCGATAATGTCAGCCTGATCCGGTCCTTGGCCCGCTCCGCATACCTTTGGTCGCTCCAATGATTTATAGAGCCTCTTCTGATCACTCTGGAAGAGACGATTCTGGTTGAACCGCCTTGACCTTTCGGTAAATCGTCGAATCCGCTTCCCCCAAGCAGCGATCTTTTGCTTCAGGTCGTCTATGCGCTCTGTTAGTTTCTGCGTGATATCCGGCTAGGACAAAGTGATATTTGTCCCAGCAAACGCCATCCTAACGGTGCGCACAATCTTCGGTCTATTATTACCCGACCTGAAGCTTGTCTAGGGGCCCTTGCCTTTGCGATTCGGTCCTCGAGTCTTTTTCTCCAGGCTAGGATGGCGCTACTTTGTGTAGTAGCGCGTCCAGCCATGGGAAATTTGGCGCCAATAATACGGCAAACTGCCACTGCGGCGCCAAAAAGAATTGAGTCCGTCTCGCAAAGGTCCCGGCTGGCTTCCAAATAGGTCACCAGCATTGGGTTAAGAGCCCTCACGACAGCCCGATTTCGCTTGCTTAGGGGTATGCGGGGGAAGTCGCGGTAGAGGGGGCTGTGCGTATGCTCCTCATTTGCTCTAGTTCCTGGGAGACTATTTCATCGTCGTTCGAATCAACCACAACTGGAAGATCCATGGCGGCTTCCACGTGTGGATGCTGGTCTGTCGCATGTGGAGCTGCATCCCTAGCTATAGCCGATTCATTCGATGACGGAATAGCCTCACGTCGTAGTCGTTCGAGTTCGACATCGTCAAATATTTTCGAGCGCATGATGTACCGAACTCGGTATGCCGGGTTTTGTTATATATATATATCATTCATTTGGATATTTATTTACGAAGTTTATAAGCATGTAACTATATTATATATATATATATATATATATATATATATATATATATATATATATATATATATTTTTTTTTTTTTATTATTGTACGTATATTTTAATGTATGTACACTTATTTATGTATAATGGTCGCACCTGCCAACAATTGTCCTTGGCACCAGGGTTGACTGGCAGAGAATGCCACATAGTATTCAGTCCGCCCTATGTACCCTTTAGCTTAAGGTGTTACATGATGTAAGTTTTTAAATAAATAAATATATCAGCTACGAGATCAGGCGCAGCAGACATGCTTAGAGAAAGGACAGTCGTAAATTAGCTTATAAGACCAATACTTATTTGTTTTTTTTTCTTATTTCTTTTTTAAAAACGTTACCCCTAATCACTTGTATCGTGGGGGCAGTTTAAAAACATAAATTGCACAAGGACAAACATCCAGACCCGGAACAATTATTTATAGGCCACACAAATACTTGTTCCGTGCGGGATTCGAACCCGCGACCCCCAGCGCAGCAACTCATTGCTAAGCCACTGCTCCACAGAGTCGTCATACAATATCTAGAAATAAATATCACTCGGAATCATGCTTGTTCCATTCCATGATGATAGACTTATGTTTAGCAGTGGTCTTGTGATAGTAAGATTTTTTATTTAAGCTTTAAATGAAACGAAGTTTTGAAACCACTAAGTTTTTGAATATTAATTTTTCAGTCCCCACGTGATCATGGGTTCTGTAAAAAAGTAAAAATTAAACGAATTCCATAAAATTAGTTTCATTTATCATGTAGTGTTCGCATAAATATAAGAAATAATTATAATTTAAGCTTGTTTAGGATCTTATACCGTATTCTTATGATTGTCAAAATCTACACCGGGTCACAAAAACAAAACCTTTTCAGAGAAACGCCCCCCATGTACTATAACCATTGTGAACGAACGTCACCTTTCAGACTGCCGTTCAGCCTTTGAAACACGTTGTCTTTTAGATATTTCAGGGGTCTCTGCAACTATCGATGACGCGAGACGCTCGGCATCTAAATCCAGACCGATTTAAGACTGCTCCTCAGATTTTTGGGTTCTTGTTGCTTTCGCAGCTCGAACTCCGCTAGAGCTACGCCCTAGATTAAGCGGGCTACATACGAGACGATATCGGTGGCGATCTAGGGTGGAAAGAAATCGGGGCTTTTATCGAGGCAGACCCTACACACGGGCGGGCCTGCCTAGCAGTACGCGTTTGGACTTGGAGCGGAACGCATATGCGGTAGAGTTCTTCAAAATGCCTCCGACTCTCTGAAAACACCAACGTGTTGGTTTGGAATTAGCCATCTTGGTTAATTTATTCGAAAATAGAAAAAGAGGAGTTGCTGGGTGAAAAAATGGCTCCAAAAGGGACAAAAATTAAGCCACATAAACGTACTAAATGGTCTGTAATCCAAAGACATGGTTAATTTTATCCGGATGGATGAAGACAGTTTTTACAACCTTCTAGAATTTTTCTATATTTATGATTTCGCAACTTATATAAAAACATCAATTTCTCCTACCTATGCTATTTAGTTATTTCTTCTCTTTGTTCATTTCTGCTTTGGTCAAAATCGGGTTATGTACTACACACAACAAACAAAGAAATAAAATACTTTTGTATAATAATATGTATACTTTTTTAATGTAATCTTTATTTATGGATTAAAACTATCAAAAAATAAAATAGCTTATATCTTTTTTAAACATAAAGAAACCTTTAATTTCGGACATACTCCCTTCTATATAGCTTGTTTGGTGAAGGAGTAGGAGTTAGTTGTTGATGAGAGGATGAAGGCACGTAAGAGATCTGAGTGCGGTCTTGTGTTGATAGCGTTGGAAAAGGAGTTAGTTGTTGAGGAGAGGCTTTATCATCTCCTTACTTACTTCATACACCCTACTTTATGAACGGCAATAAAACAGTTAGTTTAGTAAGCTTTCTTGACTTCGCCAGATCACGGGCTAGGGTGGATATGATTTGAATTTCGATAGATTTTAATTAATTTATTTATTCAAATTTTTTTTGTTTCTTGTAAAATATCAGTGACATAGGCTTCTACTCCGTTCACATGTTTAAATGTAAAAATTTTGTTATGTAAAAAAGGTCATTCAGTATCACTGTTTCGTTAATGTCCTTCCGCGAGTGCTGCTGGCAGCGACTGCCAAAAGAAATCGGGCCGATGCGCCTACACACACGCAGTACGGAGGGGGCGGAGCCCCGATCTAGGAAGCATCGGCTGCATTTTTGCTCCTGCCAGCCGATTAAGGAGGCGATATCGGCACGACTTAGGATGCCCCTACATACGACACGATTTAGAGGCAATTTAGGAGGCATCCCCACTACTCCACTCTAGATCGCCACCGATATCATGTCGTATCTAGCGCTGCACGGCTTTCACATATTGATTCTCGCGTAACTGATTTAAATATCAATTTATTTATAACCTCAACAAGATTCTTTGACGTCAAGAAAAGATTTTGTTGAGTATGAACTGCGCATATGTATAATGAATATATACATATACAACATTACAAATTTGGTATAACACAAAATTTATTAGATTGTTCTTACAATTTTATATGTGTTAGAGCCATGCTGCAGCATTATTATGGCTGTAGCATGAATGGGTCGACTCGACCGGGGAAGGACCACCGCTCTCACAGAATACTTTAACAGTTTGATACTGCTGTGTTTCGTATGGTGAGTGTAGAGATCCGGAGACCCTTTTTACTGGAAACGAGGCATTCCATCTTAGTCCTCACGGGTGACAACGCATCTGCATTTTGATTCGTAATCGAGGATAGATGTAGATGTCTATGGGCCACAGCAACCACTTATCATCAAGTGAACTGTGTGCTCGTTTGTCAGCCTTATTTTGTAAAAAAGGTACCCACAGAACTAAACTTTAAAACGGACATGACAACATAAAAATTAAAAAAATAATTCCTACACAATTTAATAGGTTCTGAATTCGATATGTCCATATGTAAGACCTAGATATGTTGTGTCAATGAATCAAAGCATCGACTCAGAACCAAAAATAAATTACCGTTATTTATAGATTTACGCTTGCGAGGCATATCGGAGGCATAAGTACTAGGCTCCACTAAAAGTATCGGGAATGGAATATTTCCACTGTTCCTGCCATATTAAAAATTTTTTAATTGAAAACTCCTTGGTTTTAAAAATCGAATACCATTTATTTAATTAAAAAAAGATTCTCGGTCTTGTCACAAGGTTTTGTCAAACTTGTTTAGTCGTTGAGAAAATGGAATTGACTCGAGAAAATTCAAGAGCGATGATTTATTATGACTTTCGAAGTGGTTTAACACAAAAACAGTGTGTTGACCGGATGATTTCTGCATTTGGTGATGAAGCCCCATCCAAAAACACAATTTGTCGCTGGTTTGCTGAATTTTAACGTGGACGTGTCAAGCTCAGTGACGATCCCCGTCAAGGTCGTCCAAATACTGCAGTCACCCAAGAAAACGTTGATGCTGTGCGTAAGCTGATTGAGGAACATCGACATGTGACATACCGCGAAATTCAGGCAACTTTAGACATTGGCATGAGTCAAATACAAATAATCTTGCATGAACAATTAGGTGTAAAAAAGTTGTTTTCCCGATGATACCGAATTCGCTCTGTGAAGAGCAAAAAGCGGCTCGCGTTACTTGGTGCGTCAGACCTCTCGAAAGATTCCACGCAGGATCCTCAAATGCCGTATACAACATCGTATCAGGTGACGAATCCTGGATATACGCGTACGAACCCGAAACAAAAAACCAGTCACGAGTTTGGGTGTTCGAAAATGTGTTAAAGCCAACAAAAATTGTTCGTTCACGGAGTGTTGCAAAAAAAAATGGTGGCCACGTTTGTCTCCAAAACCGGCCATGTTACGACTATTCCTCTTGAGGGACAAAGAACGGTTAATGCAGAATGGTGTAGCATAGCATAGCATTTGTTTGCCACAGGTCGTTTCTGAACTCCGTAAAGAGAACTGCAACCGCCGTATCATCCTCCATCACGACAATGCGAGTTCTCATACCGCACACAGAACAAAAGAGTTTTTAGAGCAAGAAAACATAGAATTATTAGATAATCCGCCGTACAGCCGCGACCTAAGCCCTAATGATTTCTTTACTTTCCCTAAAATAAAGAATAAATTGCGTGGACAGAGATTTTCATCACTTGAAGAAGCTGTGGACGCCTACAAAACGGCCATTTTGGAGACCCCAACTTCCGAATGAAATGGTTGCTTCAATGATTGGTTCCATCGTATGGAAAAATGTGTCAAATTTCGCGGAGAATACTTCGAAAAGCAATAAATACATTTTTAAATAGTAATGTTGTGTCACTTCCTTGATTCCCGAAATTTTCAGTGCCGCCCTCGTACGTACGTACGTAATAAAACTAAAAATATCATCATCATTATCATTACAACCCTTCACAAGTCCACTGCTGAACATAAGCCTTCCCCAAGGATTGCCACAAAGCACGGTCCCGAGCTATCTGCATCTATCGACTTTCGGCATGTCTGACCATGTTCTCACTCTACTCTATCTGGTGGGGGAGGCTCTACACTTCGCCTGTTGGTACGAGGTTGCTACTC